GACGTGCTGGCGGCTGCCTGGGAGACACCTGGTTTTTTGGATCCAAACCCGTTGCCTTTCTCCTCCCTGCACTGTTTTGGAGAACTAGTGAAGTGGAAAAAGAACTGCCGCGGGCTGGAAACCTTCCGAGAGACACCGAGCAGAGGCTGAGCGTCGACACCGAGAGTTTCCTCAGCCGGGACTGTTCTTCCAGCATCCAGAGCTTTAGGGATGTCCCGGCCCGGCAGGTTGAACTGTGGGCAGTCCCCCTGTGCTTTTTCCTCCCTCTTTGCTCGGTGCTTGCCCAACAAGCGATGAAATGATCCCTTTGGACCACACAGGAATTGTTTTTGAGAGGCAAAGCTGAGCGGAAGCCTTTTGTTCTTGACCCCACGTCCTGCAGATGCAGCCCAAGAGAAAACCCAACAGGTCAAGCTTGTGGTGCCCCTCAACCTTTGCTGACGAGGACCCGCTTGGAAAATGGACTTTGGGCGTGTTTCCGGGAGTTTGCAGCATTCCTCAGCCAAAGTCGTGCTTTGAGTGAGGAGAATTCCTTCCAAACCGGAAATAAAATTAGAAAAAAATACCAAAAATCCCCTGATATCATGAGGCAAGCACCCAGAAGGAGCAGGAGCTCGAAGGTTTTGACGAACGCTTCCTGCGCTGCGGCTGAAGGGGCGATTGTGCTCGTGTTTGTGGAGTTCCTGCTCACAGCTTGGGCCAGTTGAAGGGCAAGAAATATATTTTAAATGCCATTAGGAGGGAAAAAATTATATTAACTGTCCAACTGGCTCGCTCTCCAGTCCTGTGTTGGCATCTCGGCTGTTAGGGGAGAGGTTTTGGGGGTGAGTTTGCTGGGGGAGGCAGGTGCCTGTGACAAGGAGCCGAAATCAGGCTTTTGGGTCACATTTTTTAATGGCTTTGTGGTTGATCCGCAGTTTTGCGACCCGTCCTGCTTCATGACGCTTCCTAACGCGTCGTCTGGCTTTCGGTACCTGCCTCACCACCCCGCTCCTGGCGGGCTTCGTTCTTTTCCTCCCTGCAGCCATGGATTTCCCCCAGCACAGCCAACAAGTTCTGGAGCAGTTGAACCAGCAGCGGCAGCTGGGTTTGCTCTGCGACTGCACCTTCGTGGTGGACGGCATCAACTTCAAGGCCCACAAAGCCGTGCTGGCGGCCTGCAGCGAGTATTTCAGGATGCTTTTCGTCGACCAGAAGGACGTGGTGCACCTCGACATCAGCAACGCGGCCGGTAAGGTCACGACGTCCCTCTGATGACTCTTTGGTGCCTGTGGTTTGAGGGTCTGACCCTTCAGCCCGTTCCTTCACGCGCTTTGGGCTCTTCAAAATCACGTGGCCGAGAGGCGAGAGCTTATTTCTGGTCGCTTTTGCCTCCCTTTGCAGGCCTGGGCCAGGTGTTGGAGTTCATGTACACAGCTAAGCTAAGCCTAAACCCTGACAACGTGGAAGACGTGCTGGCCGTGGCGGGTTTCCTCCAGATGCAGGAGATCGTCAGCGCTTGC